TCTTCCATGAATTTAGAATTGATTTTACATACCCCAGTACCAAGTCCGAGTACTCTACCATGAACACCTCTAGAGATAAGCAGTATAAAACAGTAAATTTGTACGGCAGGAACCATGTCTCCTTTTCGAATAACGCAAATTCTTCTCCAAGAGTGTGGAATTAATTTTGTATACACATCTCGGTGCCAAGTTCCAGTCCTCTGCAATAAACACCTCCAGAGATATGCAGCATAGAAAAATCAATTTGCATGGGAGTTGCCACACCACCTTTTCCAATAACTCTCATTTTTCTCCATGGGTATGGTATTAGTTTCACATCCATACCAAGCTTGCATGCTTTACCCCAAACATTTGAAGAGATATGCAATATGAAACTTTCAGTCAGTATGGGAGGTACTACGCCTCTTTTCCAAAAACGTCCATTTTTCTCCGTGAATATGAACATGATTTCACACAGTGTTGGCAAACTGTTAATCTGATTAACGATTAAAAGTTAACGATTAAAATGTTAATCGCGTTTGACGATTAAAATTAATAAGTCGTAATCAACTGTACGATTAATGATAACATTTTTTTAATCATTAATCGGTGGCTGCGATTACGTTAAAATAATTTAAAACATTAATCGTTAATCCAATTAAAAATAAAATCTGATTAATTTGTCTAGTTTGTCCGAGTCTGAAACCAAACACCAGTTATAGTAATTATTTTGTGTTTTACGCCTATAAAAAGCACATAATATAAAAAAAAAATATAATTATTGTTATTAGTAATACATAAACTGGGAACTTTTACAAACCTAGATTGTAAAACGTTTGTTGGTATATATCTTAATGAAAATGCACACCAAATTGCTTAGATTGATGAGGAAACTCGACTTAGCCATACCGGATTAACTTGCTTTGTGTGCACAGGGGAATTCCAGCATAACTTAATTAATCACCAAACCTACTTGATCAAATTAAGAGTTAATGATTAAAAATTAATTTTTTAACCGCGGTTACGATTAACTGTTTAGTCGGATTAAAATTAATAATGATTAACTGTAATCAGATTGAATATAATCAAATTAACTAACTAATTAAAACATCAATCGATTAATGCCAACATTGATTTCACATACATATCACTATACCAAGTTTCAGTTCTCTCCCACAAATACTTCCAGACATATGTATGTAATATGAAAATTCCAATTTGTATGGGAGGGGCCTTGAGTTATCGGACTTACTTTCAGTCTAAGACCATCCTTCCGAAATCCGTAGTAAGTGTACTAAATTTCGTTCTGATCGGAAACCCGGTTAAGGAAGTAGCCTATTTTTCAGTCCAGGTCATAAACCATCTTTGACCAAAATTTCATTTTCAAACAGGTGGCAATTCTTAAAAAAGTAGCCTATTTTCCAGTCTATGTCATAGGCTATCTGTGTGCAAACTTTCATGCAAATCAGTTCAGTCATTTACGCGTATTAATTTAATAAAACTTTCCTAATACGTGATAACTCTTAAAATAGTAGCCTATTTTCCAACATAGGTCATAAGCTATCTCTGCAAATCGTTTCCGCGTATTAATTTAATTAAAACTTTTTTAACAGGTGGCATCTCTTTCAAAAAATTAGCCTATTTTCCACTGTAGGTCATAAGCTATGTGCGTGCAAAATTTCATGCAAATCCGTTCAGACTTTTCCGCGTATTAATTTAATTAAACTTTTTTAGCAGGTGGTAACTCTTAAAAAAGGTAGCCTATTTTTCAAGCTAGCTCATAAGCTCTCCGTGTGAAAACTTCCATGAAAATATGTTCACTAATTTCCGCGTATTAATTAAATTAAACATTTCTAACAGTTGGCAACTCTTAAAAAAGTAGCCTACTTTCTAACCTAGGTCATATGCTATCTGTGTACAAAATTTCATGCAAATCCGTTCAGTCGTTTCCGCGTATTAATTTAATTAAACTTTTTTAACAGGTGGCAACTCTTCCAAAAAATTAGCCTATTTTGCACTGTAAGTCATAAGCTATCTGCTTGCAAAATTTCATGCAAATCCATGCAGTCGTTTCCGCGTATAAATTCAATGAAACTTTTTTAACAGGTGGCAACTCTTAAGAAAAGTAGCCTATTTTCCAACCTAGGTCATAAGCTACCTGTGTGCAAATTTTCATGCAAATCTATTCAGTCGTTCCCGCATATTAAATAAATTAAACTTTTTTAACAGGTGGAAACTCTTAAAAAAATAGCCTATTAACCAATCTGCCCCATAAGCTATCTGCGTACCAAATTTCATGCAAATCCGTTCAGTCGTTTCCGCGTGATGATTTCCCAAACATCCAAACGTACAAACTTTCACATTTATAATATTAGTAAGATTGTATTATATAATGCTAAATACTTTCCAGATTGGGCGAATTAGTATCAGCACTTACGTATGAAACCCTAGTTTTAACGTTTATGTAATGCCGTTCCAGAGCATTAAGACAAGAAAGTTTTATACACTCTCCCTATTTGCGTGAACTCCTGAACACCAAAGCATCCCTGACACGCAGGAAATCATGTAGTTATCTTTTCGTTTTATTATTATTCTATTTTATCTTTATTATTATTTTGTTTTACTTTGCATTTGTCCCCACTAAAATTCCAATACTAATCAATAATGTAATAAGTATTATTCATGTTTGATTTCGTACTTATAGGCATATGTTAAGATCCTTTAATATTGTATACATGCATGTGATTAAGAAATCAAATAAATGGATCGCGTACATAGCAAAGTCTTTTAGCTAACGAGGCGTATTCTGGTTTTCATACAAATCGAAGATTCGAAATTCTTGAATACAATATGATAGGAAGATATCATGATTTTCGATTCGTACGAAAACAAGAATACGCCCCGATATGTGGGGCAATGAAAAATTCTTTTATTACTCTTACAGGAGGCTTTCGGGGTGCCTCTTATGGGAGCACTCCCTTATTGCACGTTCGGGAGGAATGTGGGAT